ACGAGCAAGTACGAGTTTGTACGAGCTTTCAAACACTGATGTGCGTCAATGGGATCGGATTTCAAATGGTAGTTGATAATTTTCCAAAATTTAACAAAAAACTGTTTTAATGTTTCTAGCCAGTTAATAAAGGTAAAATTCAGCCTTAAAGGATATTTTGCATAGACAGAAAATTTTGATAAAAATTTCGAAATCACAAAAGAATTTTAAAATTTTTATTTCCCTTATATAAAAAAGGTATTGTTATAAATATTTTCAACAATAATTGTGAAAATACAATGTTGAGGGAATTATGAAATGACAATATGAACAAATGGGCGTAACTGCCATTAAATAAAATGATGTATGTAAATGGGTTTGGATTTACTATAATAGTGGGCGTTACTTTAGACAAGTAAATGAAGGAATATAATTTTAAGGATTTTAAAATTTAATTGGAAGGATATTTTTAGAATATTTTAAAAATCATCATAATAAAAAAAATTCAAAAATTTGTATTTATTTTTGAATGACACATGAATATTGATGTAAACAAGTATTAATGTATTACAGCCTTTATTATATTCATTAGAAATTACACTAATCATGTAATTGCCTTATCTTTTGCTTTACTCAAAATATCAAAATTTTTGTCGGCTCCGGCATCTGATGGCATAAAATTTTTCTAAAATGTGCTGATTAGTTAAACACACGAAATGAATGAAAAAACTTGACAAATGAAGGAGATAAATATGTATGTAACTTTCTTATTTAGTAATACTCATTAAATTATAAAAAGGGCCGAACTTCTGAGGTCCCGGCACTTGATATTACATAACATTTTTGGAAAAAAACATGAAAAGCTATTTTTAATTCCGAAAAATAATATGTAAATTTAAAAGCAGGTATCAACAATTTTACGTAATTAAAACAACGAAGATTAAAATTGGCCAAATTTTTAAACAAGTTATGGCCAATAACATGTTTGAAACTAAATTAATTAGTTTTAACAATAATTTTACTTCATTGTCACAATTTTATTTAAAATTTATATTATTTTATGGATTTCGTTTTTATAAAAATATATCCTTTTTGTATATTATTCTTATCACTGACTTTATGTTCGATTTGATGTCAATCTTTGATTGATAAATTTTTTTTATGAATTTATAGTATGAATAAACTTTGCACCATTCAAAGTTTAATTAAAGAATTTTGTTATAAAATATTTAACAAATATTACATAAAATATGTACATGTTGATTTATAAATTGTAACAATTTTTGCATAATTAATAACCTGCATTAAATAACTTTAAATATTTTAATTAATCACTTAAATTACTTTTTGCAAAATATTTTTAGCAGAAAAAATTGTTAAACATCGTTGTGTGTTATTAACTTGTATAAAATTTAATAGTACAAGCTAGCTGGAATTATTTTAAGTTTGTGATAGTTTATGTAACTGTTAAATTATGTTTGTGAAATATCACCCTCAAAGTCGTGTTACAACTGTGAAGTCAAATTAGGCCACAGTTCGAGTTATTTAATTAACTAACTACACAAAATACAGCCATCAACTGCCATCTCCCTAAGGCTGAAAATTGGATATCTTAGCTGGAGGTTGGACAAAAACTTAGGTTATCGAGATAATGTTCGAGATATCTATCTTGAATCATAATCATTGCAACGAAATTGCAAATTTGCTTGTACTCGTATTTCGTACAACCCCTAATTTTACTTCGTAAATACGATGTACGAGATGGCTACGATTTCAATTACAAATTTTGATACGAGTGTCGAAGCAATGGTCATAAACTAATCTAAAATTGTAGAAAACTTTATTTTACAATAAAAATATTTTTCTTAATTTAAATTACCTTTACTGTGAAGTTTTTAATTAAATTAAATTATAGTTGCATTTACGTATCATATTACTGCTAGGCCAATGACCAAACTCTCTGTGGGGGAGAATTTAAATTACAAAAAAAGGGGAAAGAAAACACGTAAGCATTTCATCATCGTTTTTAGAACCGCCAAAAAAAACTTTTTAATTATTATCAATTTATACAATTAAATATTGCTTGATGACGATTTTATATATTTTTTTTAAATATTTATTTATCATTTATTTATGACCTTCAATCGTTTTCTTTTATTTTTATTGCAATATTTGATTCTACTAGTTTAAAGATTTTTTTTACATTTTTTATTTAATTTTTTGGGAATTTTTTTACAAATATTTATCTTTTTTAATAAAAAGAATTTTCTTATTAAATAATTTTTTTTTAATTTCTAAAAATATTTAGTAGTAAAATTAAATATTTTTTGAAAAAATATCTAGCCCTCCATAATATTTTTTATAAGATTAATTTCATTTAAAGAATTCTTTAACCTTTTTTAAGACATTCAGATCAATTTCGCGTTACCCTTTCGGAAATAGAAATCTTACGTAAAATAATAGGCCTGACAAGACGAGAGTGAACCAAAATCGGGAGCAGGCCAGTGTACCGCCGAGCTATAACTTTCTTCAAAATTGTCGAATTCGGGACGCCCTGGTATGGTTCGATTCAGTTCGTCGAGCCGCATCGAACTATACGGATTCGATAATTTAGAAAAAAGTTATTTGGCTCGGGTACATTGGGTTCGGGTGTACCTCTTAAATCAAAGGAAAACTTTCGTAAGTGTGTATTGAAATTATGGTGACGTAAAATTGAGGGGTTTTTGCCTTTATTATTTTATTTTTAATTAAGAAAAAAAAATATTTTTTTTAAATAAATAATAAATAAAGATTAAAATTTATTATTTTAATGACATAATTGTTTAAAACTAATCTTTAATCATTTTTATTTTCATCTTCATCATTTTTTATTATTTTTGTATTATCTTGTATATAATTAATTAATTTAAATAAAAAATTATTTTTACGTGTTTTTAAGTGAAAATATTAATAAATTTATTTTTTAAAATTAATTTTGTTTTTAGTATTTTTAATTTGAAAAATAGTAAAAAAACGTAAAAAAATATAAAAAATATTTTTGGTGCATTTTACGGCATTTTACGTTATTTTTCTAAAAAAAATATTTTTGTAAAAACTAATTAAAAATTAAATTTAAAAATTTTCTTTTTGCTTTATCGAGAATTACTAAATAAATGTTTAAAGAAATTAAAGTTCCTTGTCGAAAGAATTAGCAGTAATAATAAAAAAAGTAAAAATACGCTGATTTTGGAAAGCAAGTTTTTAGTTAATTAATGGTTGGTTGTTTTTGTTAAAAAATTTTGATTGAAATTTTGTATAGTTAAGAAGGGAATTGAGGAAAGGAATTGAGGAAATAAGTAAATAAATTAATAAATTAATAGGTATTAATTTTGGTTAATATTCAAAACAGGGATTTAGCCAACATAAAAATGAAATTTCGAAAATCGAGAATCGGGTCGGCTTTATCCCTAATCTTATCCTGCTATTTTTATCTAATTTCCTATTGTAGTCAATAATGGAATAATTATGTGAATCTTATTCAAAAGAATTGTCTCATTCTTCTTGAAATACATATTTCATAAAATTTTTTTGAAATTTAAAAATTTTTAAGGGGGATTGAGAAATCTATTTTGTGAAAAAAATGACAAAAATCTAATTTGTCTCATATTTTAAAGTAGATGTACGATTTTTTCTTTTTTTTGAAAATTTGAAAAAAAATTTGAAAAAACCGACACATGCTTGAATTTTTTTATTTCGCCCCCGTTGTTTTTATTATTAAAAAATTGTGGAAATTAAAAGGAACATTAAAGGCTATTTTTGCTAATTTTTTTCTTTTTTAGCCACCTTTCTTTCCCCCTTTATTTCTCCTGCGAGATTCAAGTTTTTGAAAGTTTTCGTTCCACTAACTTGGCCATTAAAAAATTTTTTTAAGAGAGGAGAGAGGGCTTCCTCTAATTTTCTTCTAGAAAATTAACAACCGTTAAAAGTGAGAGAAAACGTAACGAAAAATTAGTTATTGGTTTCTTCTTTCCTTCTTGATATGCAAAAAATTTTATAGAAAAAAATTCAAGAGACGAGATCACTGCACAATCAATTAGAAAAATAAAAGAAAATGAAAGGGGAGAGGAAATTAAAAAGTATTTTGAAAGATTGCCTCTTTTTTTAACTTAAATGCCTTCAAAACTCTTTTGGCAAGGTCATCATTAAAAAGCGAGAAAATTAAAAAATTAGAGAAGCGAAGACGGGGGGCGGGCCAAATAAAATCAAAAACGTAATTGGGAACGTTAGATGGCCATTAATTGCTGTCCGTTGTTCAAATGACTGGAACAAGGCTGTGATAAAAGGAAAGGTCTTTAACACATGTGCCACACATTAGGCGTTTTTATTAACTGAGAGAAAGGAGCTCTTTGAAAAATATTTTTTGATATAATTTCAAATATTTAATTTGTTATATGTAATCCAAAACTTATATGTAATCCAGAAGAGTTCATCAAGCCTAGCAACCTTTTATCGGAGAATTCTTTGATGCCACACATTAGGCGTTTTTTTTCTTATTTTTTAAAATAATTTCTCAAATTGTTATTCTGGATAATCAATTTCAATCTAAATACTTATTTAATCCCAAAATTTAATTTAAAATATTTTAAACAATTAAGCTAATCTATTTAGATTTATTAAAAAATTTTAAACTTTATTTTTTATTTAAATATTTATCTTGATAACAAGCTTAAAATTAAATTTTCTTTTTGAATAAATCTTTGAATATTTAGAAATCTTATTTTTTAAATAATTTTTTAAATTGTCATAATTATAGTTCAAATAATTAACTCAAATTTGATATACATAATTAATGAAATTTGTATTTTCATTGTTTCATCTAATTGTTTTATTAGGTTAGACAATTTATCATAGAATATGTACTTAATTTAATAATTTTAAATCCGAAAGATCTCTTTTCTTTATTTTTTCCATTGATCATTTCTCATTTATTTCTATATTAAAAAATTCAAAAAAATATTTTTTAAGCTTCTCAAATTTAAAAAATGACAGAAGATTGTAGCAAGCAAAGGGAATACGAAGCCGATGGCATGCGAAAGCTTGCATTTTTTGGTGTCGCAATGTCCACTGTTGCGACACTAGTCTGTGTCCTTTCTGTCCCAATGGTTTATAATTATATGCAGCACATCAACTCAGCTATGCTCAACGAAGTTGACTTCTGCAAATCTCGATCAGGAAATATCTGGAGGGAAGTGACTAGAACACAAGTAAATAATTAAATTATTATTTAAAAATTCTACATAGATAATGAAAAAACTAAAAAAATTCTTCATCACAAATAGGCATAACTTAAAAAACATTTGTTCAAGGTTGTTGCAAGTGAACGCAAACGACACGCACGATCATATGGTGGAGGCGGAGGAGGAGGTGGGGGTGCCTGTTGTGGATGTGGTGTCTCACCTCGCGGTCCACCAGGCCCTCCAGGACCAGCTGGCCAACCTGGACATGATGGAGCACCTGGATTATCTGGCCCACCTGGAAAAGATGCACCACCACAATCTCCACTTCCAACTGGAGGCACTGGGTACTTGCCTTTATCTTTAATTGACTTGAAATGAAATAATAATTTCTTATTTCAGTTGCCAAACATGTGAAGCGCCAAAGAATGGAGCTCCAGGCCCACAAGGACCTCCCGGCCCAGCAGGATCACCTGGCGAGCCTGGACCACCATCATTTGGAGGCGGCAAAGGACCAAGAGGACCCCCAGGTCCACCAGGACCTTCAGGAGAGCCTGGTCATGCAGGACCTCCAGGACCACCCGGTGCACCAGGAAAACTCATGTTTGTGATTTAGTACAATTTTTATAATCATTTTTGTGACTTTAGTGCTGGAGGCCCATCAAAATGCGGACCTGCCGGTCCTCCAGGACCACCAGGGCAACCAGGCCACCCAGGAGGACAAGGCCCACCAGGGGAAGCAGGTATTTAAATAACCATTTAGTTTATATTTTGCAATTATCTCTTGTAAGGTCATCCTGGCGGACAAGGACCACCCGGAGGCCAAGGACTTGCGGGACCACCAGGACATCCAGGAGCCCCAGGAGGACCCGGCAAAGCTGGAGGTAGCGGAGGCCGTGGCGCTTGCGATCATTGTGCACCTCCACGTACATCACCAGGCTACTGAGCAACACTGGAAAAGCAAAGAAAAGACGACTCATAATCGAATAAAATGCGTTAACAAAATTTGGAGATTTTCGTCAAATTTTGTGCATTTAAAGAGGAATTTTATAAAATATATTTGTTCCCTATTATTAGAATGTAAAATATATTTAGGTATTTAGACTTTAAAATATTGTAAATTGAAAAAAAAATTTTTGAGTAAATTCTACTTTAAGAGTAAATTCTACTTAAGACATTTGCACCGCAGTGTATATAGATTTAGAAAAATAATTTTGAAATAAAATAATTAGTAGCAATTTATTAAATATACAAATAGAGTTATTATTTAATAATTAAAAAAATTATTTTAAAAATTATTTTTAATTTTAACACTTTCTAAAAATTAAAACAAAAATTCTTTTGCTAATTTCTTCTTCTACCTTTCCATTTTTTGTGTAATTTTTTGATTAATTGGCGCTAAACGAGTGAACAAATCAACCATTCTTTTTTTTACAATTTACTAATTTGTTGAAACTTTTAATTGGTAAATTAGTTTTAGTCTCCATCAATATTTTATAGAAAACAATTTGTGTAGAGAAATAACTTTTTAATTGTTTTTTTAAATCGTTTAATAATTTTTTTGAATTTATTTGACCTAATTTCAATTTATTTTATGATTTAAAACAGAATGTTTCATATACTTTATGTAGGCATGAATCGAACCTGCAACCTTCCGAATCTAATCGAACCTGCAACCTTCCGAATCTAATCGAACCTGCAACCTTCCATTGCTAAATGATTAGGACCACCTCTTGTTTTTCTGATCCTTTTAGGTACATTTACAATTCTACCTTAAAGATTGAGAGAGGTCCTGCATTAACGATGCCCCCACATAACAGGGTGCTGCTGACCTGAAGAAAATTTCCCGGAATTGGGAATTCCCGATTCGCGAAATAAAAAAATTTATTTATGTCGTTAGGATCCCTCCCACATATTCATCATCATAGGTACAATTCTTTGTGGGCTTCAGTTCATTATCTACAAGTGAGGTCCAGCTCTATTCTATAAAATAATACATTAAAGATTACCCCATTGTTTTAAAGATTTTTAAAAAAATGAAACGAGAAAATAATTTTATTCTTCACTACTTTTTTCTATTTATTTGCCTTTTTTCATTTTCTAATGCGAGTATCAGCGGCTATAGTGAGACAGCAGCAGTAGAATCTTCACCTACAATAAATTGTGGAGACATTGATTCAACAAGTGAAGCTAAAGCTACTGATTCTAATCCTTTCTGTGTTTATCCAGCACTTGTTGGGGTAAGAATATATTTAAAATTGAGGAAGAAATAAGAAAAACTCGAGAAACCCGTTGTCGTTTTTTCGAGTTTTTCATACCTTCTAAACGGCCAATCTCTAAAATTGGATAACGAATAAACTCCTTATCCATTTTGATAATTGTTTTAGGTGGAATTAAGTTTAAGGGGGTTCCATTTTTGCCTAGTTAATAATTCCGAAAATTTACTCAGAATGCATCAGAATTTAACTAAATTATTTGAACATACCAATTTGTTTAAATTAAAATTGATCAACACAGAATTTTGGGAATGATCGAAATTATAATTAACAAAAATAAATTTTAATTTTTCGATCTTATCCAAAAAATAGAATTCCATTTTAAAGTTCCATTTTTGCTTAATACGAAATTACTAACAAAGAAACAGACAGCATTTAATTTTATTTTTTATGTATAATTGTGAAAATTTTTTATTCCAAAAATTTGCCATATTTTAATACATAAATATTTGTAATAATTCAGGATCACCCGTCTCCACCAAAGATTGATAAAAATAGCCAAGGGCCAATAAAATCGTTAGACTTTGAAGCAAAAACACTAATTATTTAATGATTAAATTTTAATTGAATTTATATATGTATAAAATTTAAAAATAAATTTATTATTTGTTTGTTGATCAGATTTATTGATGTTTGAAAGAATTATAATATTTGTTAATATGGTGGCTTAATTTCTGACACGAATTTGAAAGCACTCATGGATTATATGGCTCCATGACAATTGTACAGAAGACAATTGTTGTGCCACTGGATTATATTCGTGCAAATTTTACAATTGGTTATTATGGGTTCTTATTATACTTGTCATGATTTATATTTTTTAAATTTGACTACATATTTATTTTGTATGATTTTCAAAAAACTTTTAGTAACTTCTTTATTGTTCAGGTAACTTAATGTATGTATGTACTAGTGATGCTCGGGTATCCCGATCCCGACTCCCGACTCGGGAAAATTTCCCGAGTTTTTGGCCTCCCGATCCCGACTCCCGGTGTCAATTCCCGACACCGGGATTTTTTTTTCAAAAATTTTTGGCGCCGAAGGCGCCAAAAATTTTTGAAATTTTTGGAAAATTTTTTTATTGCTAATTCCCGACTCCCGATCCCGACTCCCGAGGTCATTTCCCGACCCGACTCCCGTTTCCCGATTCCCGGGTTTTTTCTTCTCCCGAGCATCACTAGTATGTACTCTTTAAACTTAAAAAATACAAAATAAATTATTGTCAGTATTCTTGTGTTCGTTTATTTCATAGTTTTTTGACTTCTTAACATTCTGCTTCTAAATTGAAAGCATTTGTAAATTCCTTTTCAACCTGTTTGTAGTGCATATTTAGGAATTTTTAATAAAAATTGCATCATTTATATGTCCTTTAATAAACAAATAAAATATTTCTTAAACATTCACATGTTGTCTGTATATTATGAAATTTTATTTAAAAAATAAATTGTATCCATATTACAGGATATACATGTATTTCTCTTTAAATTAATAAGAATGAGTTAATTAAAAGTCAAATAATATTTAATAGATGTAAAATTCATTCTTTTAATTTATTTAAAAATTTTTTAAAAATAATTTACAATTAAATTTTTATTAAATAAATAATAGTCGTTTGTGTTAATATAAAATAAAGATGCTAATAAAATCTTTGATTTTGGCAATTTTCCTTGTGTTTGGATTGAATGCTATTTTTGGAATGAAAAATTCAAAAACTAAATTAAAAAATGAAATTACACATTTTGGTTTGTTTATATTTTTTTGTAATTTTTTGAGCAAAATAAAGTTAGTTTTCCACAAATAATTCCTATTAATTAACTCGTAATGCGATAAATTGAAAAATAAATTATTTCAGAAATAGTAAGTACCGTATATCCTGTAATAACTACCCTGGGTAATTATTGTTTCGACCTTCCGCAGGAGGGAGTAATTAATCGAGGGAGGGTAATTATACGCGGTTTAAAATTTGAACGTGTTTTAGGGCATTTGTTCGGGGGTAATTATTGTTTCGCTGGATGGGGTAATTAATGGAAGTTTCGGAAATCGAAAACATGCTTAAAATTGAAAGAAGAAACTTTGAAAATCGATGGTTTAGAATAGAATTTTGAATCGGCTCTGATGTAGACTGAAAATATCTATTTATCTTTATGTATATAAAAATGAATATAAATGAATAAAATCTTTTTAGGAATAAAAGAAAATGTAAATTTGGACGATTATTATGTTTATTTGATTTTTGAAGAAAAATCTGATGATATTTTTTCTAAAAATTGTTTAAAAATTAGTGCATTTCTTGTTGATCTTGATATACGTAAAATTCGTTTAAAAGTTGAAGAATCATTAAAACATGCAGAAAAACAAATAAAAAAATTAATGAAAAAGAAAAAAACAGAAAAAGACGGAAAACAACTTGCTGATAATTGTTTAAAAATAAAAAAGTATTTGGAAGATTATGATAGAATGAAGGTATTTTAACTTGAATAAGTATACTGAAGCTGTTTCTTCCACTTCCGTCCAATCCGTTTTTGATTTTTAATTTCATCCCATTTCCTTCCATCACGTTTTTTAAAATTATTTTCAATCCCTATTGGTTAGTTAATTATGTTAATACGTCAAATACTTGGATTTTACAATTCGGTATTTGAGACCCAATTAATAAGAGCCTTTCTAATAAAACCGGCACATCTGTTTTTAATTTCTCAAAATGAATAGTAAAACTAGAGAGTGATTACTGATTGGGAAAGTATAGAAGGATCCATATATTTATTTTCTTCAAAAAATTTTACACAAAAGTTTAGCCTTGATTGTTAGATATCTATTAAATATTTAAATTTAAAGGAAGTGTATAAAAAAGAAAATGCTGAAAATATTCGATTAGATGATCTGTTTGAGTTAATTAAAATTTGTACTATATTATCGGAAATAACCGATTGGGCAAGTATTATAGGAGAAGAAATACAAAAGAAATTGAAACATTATAACAATAGAAATTATTCAAATGATCAGGATTATGCAATTCTTAATAATTCTTTAGCTGCTCTAAATTATTCAGAAATCCTAAAATTAGTACCAGAAGGGTTAGAAGAATATTATGAAAATAAGGAAATGGTATAATATTTTAAATTTAAAAATATCTCCAAGGATTCCTTTAAATAAAAATATATCTGTTTTAAATAATTCTAAATTATAAATTTATTATGACATTTTCTTATAGTATTTTAAAAATTTATTTTTTATTTTACCACTATAATTGTACTTTTTTATGTACTTTGTGGTTTACTCAATAAATTAAATTAAATTAAATTAAATTAAATGCTTTTTAATTCTAAATGCCGCAATTTCGGCATTTAAATTAACCACATTACATTTAAATTAACCACATTTAACCACATTACACACATTTTGGCATTTGGCATAAAAATAAAAAAATGACTGTCTGAAGGGTATCCCAGCACATTTCTATTTAATAATTCGGATACGGTCCCAGATTTTCAAAATTTTCATTTAAGCTGTCAAGACTCATAGACTAGTTTTGAGTGAAGTTACAATATGTTCTTATAACTTCCGCTTTAAAAATAGGAAGTCCGCTTTTTAAAGGTGAACGTGTCCCTTGTATAGTCACTACAGCGTTAATAATTTATTTTCATAATAGGCACCTTCTTCATCAACTTCTAAAAGTAAATTGTATTTAAATTTGGATAAAATAAAATTTGATGCTAAAGAAATATTCTTAAAAGTAAAGCATAGATTGCAGAAAGTTTTAGGCAATTATCTTCCAGTTTTCGAAGCACATAATCCAATTCTTTTTAGAATAGGTTAGTTATATTTTTAAGTAAATCTGATTTAGGCATATCAAAATTAGATAACCCAATTTTAGATACGTTTTTTAATTTGGTGGCACATGGTAGACGAGAGCTTCCTAAGCGATGCTCCCACTCATTTTTCTGTTAAAATAATGGTCCTTTCGTATTAGCTTGTTAAAAGTAATTTCAAATAATCTTTCTGCCAACAGAATTAGTATTATACCTTATATGGTATTAAAAAGACTATTAGAAAGTTAATAAGAACATTCTCTCAAAAGAATGGTTTGGTATATATCCGAATTTACCCATCTAACGCAGGATATCTCATTGTAATTATTTTCGAGAAAAGCAGATAATTACTTCCTTCTCTATTATTCTCATACAGCGAGGAGCTGAAGTTAGCGTATTTTATATCCATCTATTTGGACGCCCTGATAATTACCCAAAATATTTAAATATTGATACTATTAAAGATATAATTGATAATGTCCAGCTTTACGAATTCTATACTGAAATGTTGTCCACACAATTAGATACAGATAAAGGGTCAGAAAATTACTTGAAATTAGAACTTAGATATATTTTTGGATTTATTATGAATTTTATAATTGAAGAAAAGGACGAAATGATTAAAAATAATATTTTAAAAAGTTTATCATTTTATTGGAAAAATGAAGCATTGGAAAAAATGAAAACAGATGGTGGAAGAGTAATTATTGAATTAAATAATTATGCTTATAAATTAATTAAAACACAAGAGGAAAATGATCCGTTAAACGAAATTGCAAATTCTCTTAATTCTGAAGATATACAATCAGGAAAATATATAATAACAAAAAAATACCCAGCAGATTTAATTAGAATGTACAATGAAAATGAAGATTTTAGACAATTTATGAGAAATACTAGAGGAGCTAGATATAATTTATTGCAATATTTAATGCGGACAAGCCAATTTGTTGAAATTTTGTTGAATGAAAATGATCAAATTAGACCGTTGATAAAAATAGGTAGATAGTTTAAATTGACATATTTATTTTAGTGTCAAAAAATTAAAATTGTGAAGAAAAATAAAATGGCACAATAAATATGTATAAAATAAAGAAACCCAAACTCATATCACCAAATTCATGTTATGGCTTATTTACCACCCATATTATTCCATTTAATTTTTTCATCACAACAATAATTGAGCTGTTAATCAGACGGTTCAGCTTATTTATCTTGGTCCGTTATAACTATTCAATCTATTATAGTGAATCATGAAAATGAATGAGTGTCATGTAATTAGGGCAAATGTAAGCTAGAGTTTGCATAAAGCTCTAGCCAAATTCTATATTCGATCAACCTTATATGTAGATATTTTAAGTCTAAATAAATCGTTTTAAAATTAATTCAAAAAATATTTTTTAAAGAAGTAACAGAAAAAGAATTATTAAATCAACTAGAAGGATTAATTCCAAATATTTTTAAACGTGAAGATAACTTTGAAAATTATAGTGAGGATGTAACAATTGATATATTAATATATATTTATTGGTTAGATAAAGACTTTAAGGACTTTAATAAAGGAAAATTCGAAAAAGAATGGATTAAAATAAGGGAAATTTTTTTATTTTTTGTTGATTTTATTTTTGAAAAGGATGTTGAAGAAATATTAGATAATGCAAAATTGTGTTATAATATGTTGTATAAACTTAAAGAATTTTCTTCAAATAAAATGGATTGGATTGAAGGAAAGGTTTTTTAATTAAAAGAATGATAAAAAAATTATTTTAGGATTCAAAAAATATTCTTTTAAATTTACTCGATGTTAATGAATTAAAAGCTCTTGTTGATCTATCATTGGAGGAACGAGAGTTTGT